ATATATATTTTTTTTTTTTTTTCGTTTTAGGTCTAGGTAATCTGGAAATTTTGCAACTGGAACGGCCCGTTCTGCAACTAGAATGACCTGTTTTGCATGCATTTTCGTCGTGTTTTTTTGCAACTGGAACGACCCGTTTTTAAATCAGAACGGGTCATTCTAAAGTTGAGTTTTTTCACATAACCTCAATGTTGGAACGACCCATTCTAACTAGGGATTTTAGCCCTTTTTAGTAGTTTGGAACGAGTCGTTCTGCTTTTGGAACGACCCGTTCTGCCTAATTCTATGCACTTTCCTTTTTTTTTTTTTTATCAATGTAATATGAATTTTAATGTTTAGCTTATAAACTATTATAATTATACATTATTTGGACATGTTTTCGTAGTGTGATGTGCAGGTTATCTAGATTTTTCATTATTAGCCACAGTTTGACTCGTACAAGTTTCGAATCTATTAAGACAAGGTCCCATTATTATCATCTCGTGTTTTTAAGTTTAAGACACTATAGTTTCATACTTCAAAGGTGTTTCTTTTAAATCTAGCTTTAAACTTAACATTGCAGCAAACACAATTTACCCTTTCAATACAAATACAACGTAGTCTCAAAGAGTAACATCAACTAATTAAATTTATTGAATATTAACATTATAAATATAACTAAATAAATTTATTAAAACTCATTACAACAATAAAATCAATGGTGACGGGAACTAAATCCATGACTAGTATTTGGACATGTCTTCCTAGTGTGACCAGAAGTATGACAATAGGGACAATTTTTTACACGATTATGTTGTTCTCTAAGATCCATCTCTATTCTAATCTTGCTGGACTTTGGCCGACCCTTGGAAGTCCTATTGAATTCTGGATTTGGCCACATAGTTGGACCAATGTAAGTAGGCCAATAATCTTCATGTCGGAGCTCTCCAAACTATCCTTCGTATACCTTTGCAACTTGTTGTAAGGTATATATGGGAGATATGTAAGTTTGATAGTTGTGACGTGCATGTAAGCATGAAGCAAGTACATGCGAGCAAGGGATATGAACTTTCTGGAACTTGTCACAATCACAGCACATTTCATCTAGCCTTACTTAAATCTCCCAGCGGGTCGAAGTTCTCTCGGATGTTGTGTTTCTTCCACTAGAAATCTAGTGCTTGATCTGTCAAAGGTGATAACTCTATGAGTATTTGCCTTGGACTGTGCATCTTGAATAGTTTTACTTGCAATTTCCGAGTAGACATGTCCAACATTAATCATTGCATCCACTTCCTTGCCTCTTTGAATGAAAAACTTGTTGCAACGAGTGTATGTGGCCATTACCATGGAACAAATTGGTAGATCTCGTGTTTTCTTCAATACAGAATTAATAGACTCAGCTAGGTTTATTGTCATGTGTCCCCAACGTCGTCCATTGTCCCATGCTAGTGTCCATTTTTCCTAGGAATGTTGTCTAACCATTGGGCTGCTTCAACATTAGTATCTCTTATTATGTTGTAATAGTATAAGAATTTAGGTTCAGTCATCCCATAAGCTGAAAAAAGTAATAATTAAATAATGAAAACTAATTATTAAATGTTTTAAAAAAATTAATGATAAAATTACTCATGTTGACGACATCCTTCTTCAGTGCTGCATTTTTGAATCGTCGCATAAAGTTTTATGCAATGTGTCGAATACAATAGACATGGACAAAATTATTTTCTGTCCAACCACTTCCATTTCTTGAGTATGCACTTTGAATAGCCTCATGACGATAAAAAATTAGACACAACTCGTCTTGCGGTGTTACATACCGCCTTAAGTTCTTAAGAAAAAACAATCATGCATTGCTAGTTTCACCTTCAACAACAACAAATGCAATAGGAATTATGTTGTTGCGACCATCTTACGCAACTGCGACCAATAACGTACCTTTGTATTTGCCGTATAAAAAGGTTCCATCAACTTGAACAATTGGTTTGCAGAAGGCAAAACCATCAATGCATGGTTTAAAGGTCCAAAATAACCTTTTGAATATAACATTCCCCTCTTCCAATAAGCCACCTTGGTAAGCCGGTTGCGTATTAAATTTCCAAATAAAGCCTGGAACATACATTTGCATTGCTTGCAACATACCTGGTAACTTGTTGTATGACTCCTCCCAGTTTCCAAAGGTGTTTTCAATGGCATGTTGCTTGGCCAACCATCCCTTTTTGTAACTAATTGTATAACCCATGGTCAACTTGATGTGGGCTATGATGGTTGAAATGGGTGTAGATGGATTAGCCTCAATAATTTCACGAAAGGTTTGAGAAATCATTTGTGATCCCAATTTATTATGATCTTGGGAGATGAGTGAAGAAACACATGTGTGAGGGCCTTTAAGGATCATGATTTCCCAATGTTGTTCTCTAGTGCGCAATATAGCACGACATCTCCATTCACAATCGTGGTGAACGCATTCCACAAGAAGCCTAGTAGTGTTTGAGTGTTTAATCTTGTAAGTGCAATGGTTGACAATGTGAAATCTGTAATCACATCTTGTACTTATTCTTTTGTTTGGAAACGTTGGCCAGCAAAGAGTGTTCCAGGTGGATACACAACCATTTCACGTTCCAACAGATGGCTATACTTGGTGTCTTGTTGTTGGATTTCATTGAGAAAGTCTAAAAAGTGTGGAGGTGAGTTGTATATGGCTACTGGTTCTAATGGTGGATTATTTGGAATTGGAAGGATTTCTTCTTCATCATCATGTTGATTTTCAAAGAGAATTTCGTCTTCGTCTTCGGTAAAAGGAACAAAGACATTTTCTGTTGGGAGACCAATAAGAAAATGATCTTCAATGTTGGTTTGAATATTGGGATGAGAGACAAAAGTTGTAGCTTGGTCAAATAGTTAAGAAGGTATTTGATTAAGGTCCATGACTCGACCAGTTAAAAGCTGTGTGTATGACGCAACGTCGTGATTGGAGGGAATATCATAAGAAGGGTCAGTTAGTATTTTGATAACTTTGATAAATTTGGTATGGTGAAAGTGAAGGTGAAACTTGTGGTGAAAGTGAAGGTATTTATAATGGAAGGTTCTGACATCCAGAACGGGCCGTTCCAAAACATGAAAAAAATAAATAAAAAAATAAGTGAACAGTAAATGATGCTAGTTAGAGAAATAAATTTACAAAGTTGCTAGTTGGGTATTTTTTTTTTAAAAAAAAATGTATTATTTGAGACCTTTTGTCTTTCATTTTTTTTATATTTGTAAAGCCAACATTTATCTTTCATTTAATAATATTAAATATAGATTAAGAAAAGTAAATATTTTTCTTCTTATATTAAAATTATTGTAATCTATTAATATACCTTTTATTTCTTTCATTTATAACTTATATATTATACACTATTGTTAATATCAAATGAGTGATTAACAAGCACACGTCTCGCGGAAGATATGTAAATGTAAGGTCTCTACTAGAAAGAAAAAATCTACAATATTGATATTTTATTTTAATAAATAATTATTATTAATAATAATTAATATTATCTTAAAATTTCAAAAATATCATATAATTTGAAATGAAAATTTTCATTATAGCTTACAAATAAAAAGATAAAATACTATTCAATATATTAGAAAATATCCCATAGAATATAAATCAAAATATTGTATATATTTTCTTTCCTAAGATAGCTTAATTTTGTATTTATTTACTTTCCTTATATATATTACATCAAATCCCACTAACAGGAGATTGCTGATATTATGCTTTAGAATTAGCTCAGTATATTCCTGTACATGTGTCATATACTTGCCATTTTCGTCTACGGAAATGTGAGTATATTTGAGTCACAAGTTTCTTTCACTTAAGATAATATTGTTCAAGATGGGTGAAATTATTATGAATAAAAAAAAATCTCGAGTATCTAACGTAGTTATATGTTGAGAGTTCAGATTCGAAACTACAAAATTAGTTGAAACAACTTCATATTGATTGAGCAATCCACTTATTGGTAGAAAGTCTTTCAACCTTTTACTCTTTTCATCTTTGTCCTTATATATTGTTGTCTTGAGACATTGCATAATTTTAATTAAATAATACTATTTTATTATAAAAAACTACAATAATCATTTTGTTAAAACGTGTATTATTATTATCTTAAACATGAGAGTGAGGGAGAGAGCAGTTGGAAGAGAGGGAAAGAGTAGTTAAAAGTTTGCAGTAAGAATAATTTCTCTGCTTTACCATCCACCCGAACTAACACGGCTTTGAATTTGTCACAGTACACATAGGACACATTTTGATGAATGAAGCCAAGGTGAGTTGGTACTACTCGGGTTGCTTCATAAGCAACAAGCCAAATAGCTCCAAGAACCACCATCTTTTTACGTGCCCATACTCAAGAGGAGACCACAAACACAACCAACACAACACAACACAACACAGAACCTTTCTCTGACCAAAGAAACTACCGTCACAAGCAGTTAAAGCCATCTTTAATTCACTTTTAACTCTTTCATCCTCCTCCAGGATAAAAAAAAAATGTTAAAGAAAATAAAAAATAAACTCTTCTTTTCTTATTGTCTACGTTGTCCAACGATAATCCGCAATTATAAGTTGATAAAACCAAGATAAGAGTCTAACAAGTTATGTAATTCGCAATTATATATTCTTATATCATCCAATGGTTCTGTTTTGCGTGAACGGGTCAAGAAAAAATAATAGTATTGTTTAGAAAATTAAACTAGAAAGCGACGTAGCGAGAAGCTTGTTGTGTTGTTGAATGGGGAATGCTAAGTAATAACGGCTGATGTCTGTGTCTCTGTTCACGCTTCTGTCTCGTGGTCTCCCTCGTTACAATTCTCAAGAGAACAAAACCACATTAATCAAAGTAAATACAAACGAGATTGTCTTTATGGCATTCCAGCTACCCAACTTAAATGTTTTACTTGCACCATGTGATGTTAGATTCAATTTCTGATACATTTGTTGTTGCGTTACTTTCACTTCTCCCTCGGCCTTTGCTCATTCTTGCACTTAAGGATCCGTTACTTTTTAAATTGTTTTCTACAAAAATTCTGTTCAATAATCATGACAGCCGTTTCCCATAATACCCTTCAAATTATCCTCGTTGCTTTGGTTGCCTAGATTTCTCTGACGTGTCAGATTTTCTATTTGACGGTTCGCTTCTAATTAATTGTTCTCATCCTATGCACTATGTGTTTCCTGCTTCATCAATTTTCACACTTTGGTATTGATTTGGATTTGTGATGTGTTTTCTTTAGGTTCTGGGCTTGTGGGTCGTAGAGAATGAAGGGCCAGGTGGATTCCCCTGTTGGTGTTCTTGAGGACTATTTCAAGAGCTCGGAGTCAGAAATATGTTCTTCCAAAGAACCAAGTACTGTGGATTCTGGGTCTCAAGGTAAATCAAAACCTGGTTCTAAGTTGCATGCGTTTCTTCAATTGTTGAGAATCAAATCGGAGAAGCCAATGGCCACATTGCATCCTCTCAGTGTCCTCAAGCTCTCCAGAAGAATGAGCACTAGCATGAGCGAGACTATAATAAATGCAGATTCATCCTTGCACATGTCACCCTGGAAGATCTTCACTCACCATGAGATACAAATTGCTACCAATAACTTCGCCCAAGGTATGAATTGTTATCCAATCTAACATTGTTAAACTTATTATAAGATTATTGTCCATTATAATAACTACTCCATTTCTTATTGGTATCATAGAAAGTTCTGATTAGGACAATATAATGGAGGAGGATGACATAGTCTTCAACCAATTTTTACATTCAAATCCTGTTAATTATATTTTGTAGAAAATGTATATTATTTAGTGATTGATCGAGACTATCAATATCTTTTTATTTTGAATTATCTAATAATTTCTTGTAAATCATAGATCATAGAAATTAAACTCATTTTACACTGGGTGTTGCAGAAAATTTGATTGGAAAGGGTGGATATGCTGAGGTTTACAAAGGGTGTTTGCCAAATGGTCAGCTGGTAGCGATTAAACGGTTGACACGTGGAACAGAAAATGAAAGTACAGGGGACTTCTTATCAGAACTTGGGATAATGGCTCATGTAAACCACCCCAATACTGCAAAGTTAGTTGGCTATGGAGTGGAGGGAGGAATGTATTTAGTGCTTGAGTTGTCTGAAAAAGGGTGCTTAGCTTCGGTGCTCAATGGTAGGGTCTGTTTAACTTTGCTGTTGTGCCAATTTGTAGCCACGGTCATTTTTTTATTGTTCTTAATTTCTTCACTGTTGTTAGGTTCCAAGGAGAAACTACCGTGGTCTATTAGGCAGAAAATAGCATTAGGAACAGCTGAGGGTATATTGTATCTTCATGAAGGTTGTCAAAGAAGAATTATCCACAGGGATATAAAAGCAGCAAATATCTTGCTTAGTGAGGACTTTGAGCCTCAGGTATGGATATGACTTTGGATTCTTTTGTACACATTTGATTACATGAGCGATCACCACATATTCATGCTTTTTGGCATTTTTTTATGGTTCGTTAAGACAAACAATTTTTGGAAGATCCCCGAGTTGTTGTTAGGACAAATTATTAAATCTGTCTCTTTTCCCGTTTGTTAACAACCTCCAATGAATTGTACATTTCAACTATTTTTTTATTGCATGAGTACGTAATATTTTAAGCATTAATCAGAATTTGAACGTTGGGAATTTGTTTGGGCAGATTTGTGATTTCGGGCTAGCAAAATGGCTACCAGAGAATTGGACTCATCACACCGTTTCAAAAGTTGAAGGGACTTTTGGGTTTGTTTTGTTGTGACCCCTCTTAAATGATTATTACGTGTTGAACATTTTTTGTAACTTGCTAGTAACTCAAGTTTGAGTTATGATTGTCCCAGTTACCTTGCACCTGAATACTTGCTTCATGGGATACTGGATGAGAAAACAGACGTATTTGCTTTTGGTGTGGTGGTACTAGAATTAGTCACTGGACGAAGAGCACTTGATTATTCTCAACAAAGTCTTGTTTTGTGGGTATGTTGTGCAATTCAACTATAAAAAATAAAAATAAAAATGCGTGTTTGAACATCTAATTAATTATGATATATTGAAATATAATTATTTAATATTTCTAATACTTTTCTAGGCAAAACCTTTGCTGAAAAAGAATTATATTAGAGAGCTGATTGATCCTTCACTGGGCGATGACTTTGACTGTCGGCAGATTAAAATTATGCTATTGGCAGCTTCTTTATGCATTCAACAATCCTCTATTCGTCGTCCCTCTATGAAACAGGCACGTTCTCTTGTTCTTTTTAAATTTCAACAAAACTTAGTTTTCACCTTGAAATTTACCTTTTTCTTATTCTATTTATGACATATAGTTATTGCTTCACCTTGTGTTGTGTTTGTTTTAGTGAATGTTTGTGGCATATTGAATGTTGCATGATGCTTGTATTTTCCATTACGGTTTCTGTTTTTACCCTGGTGCAACCGTGCAAATTTACTGGTGGCAGATAATATGCCACTCTGATTGACTTTATTTAGTAATTTCAGTTTTATGGTTACTTTTACTTTTTTATAGTATTACCACGATTTTGGAGAATAAAATTGATTCTTGTATGCTATCTAAACACTATTAAATTGACTTCACATCAACATGATTTTATAGAGTTCATTATGGTTAAAATTGAGTTTGAATTAATATGATTTTTATTTCAATGACGAATATTAAAAAAGTGTTTAAATATTTTGAATCAAAATTCACTTAAGTATATTTTTATTTATAAGAATTATAAGTATGATAACAAAATCTGCATCTAAGTTTCTTTGCATACTTTTCTAATCAACCTAATAGTTAAGTTCATTTTAAGCATATGATTATCGAAATATATTTAATTGTCAATGTATACTTCTTTTAAAAGACAAAGACGGGTAAATGAAGGGAAAAAAAATAACAATTAAAAGTTTTAAATTAATTTTGTATGAAACAAAAGAAACTCCTTACAACTGACTAAAAAAAATTTCAATCCTACCATAATTTTATTTATTAATCAAACATAATAATTATTTAAGTCAAATCGTACTTGATTCAACTCACCAAAGTCTACAACGCTTTCATCATCAAACCCAATACACTTAAAATAAACTAAACCCTTGTAAAAAAAAAATAATAATTTAACCACAGGAACAGGGAACCCTTATTCAGGTCTCTGTCTGTTTAACTGTAAGAAAGTTCATGATTTGGCAATTGACCTATTGGTGCAGGTTGTACAGCTTTTGAATGGCAACCTTAGCTGCTTGAAGTTCACGACGAAATCTCAACTTCCATTCTTCCGAAAAGTCTTTCGAGAAGAACCCCTTGATTCTGATTTCTGATTAATTCAAAGGAACATAAATCATGGAGTGACAGCAACGCTACCTAAATTGTGATTAATCATGTATCTAATCCTTTTCAAGTCAAATATTTTTTCCGGAAAAGGAAAAAGGTATTTTTCCCATACATCATTGAAGGGATTGGAGTTTCTGCACATAGAAATTGCCCCTACTAAAATGAATATCCTGCAGAATACAAAGCACAAAAAAGCATGGCATTGTCTCACAAACGGTGTCTATGGTAGATTTTTGTAAAGAAGTCAAACACTTGAAAGAAAGAAATACTTTCTTTTCTCTCAATTCTCATCCACATTTTTTATCAGGGCAATTTTAATATCTTCTTAAAACCAAGTGTGATAAATTAAAAAGACTGTGAAAATCGAAAAGTTTATCTATAATTTTATTTTAAAGATATCAGATTTTTTAGTAAATAGATGTATCATTTACCAGATTGATTTCAAAGAAACATCTTTAGGTGAAAAAATAAGTCATATTAAAAGAAGAAAAAAGAAAAGAAAAGTGAACTCGCACCCTTTAATTTTGTTGCTAAGTGAACGCTCACCTTAATCTTTGAAAATACAAGTGTCAATCATTTTGATTTCTGAGTTCATAAAATTATTATTTTAATAATTAATTTAGTAAAATAACATTTACTTACACCTTTTATCATATTTTTCAAAATATTAAAATAAATATAATGACCTAATTTCTATATTTTATAATTCAACAATAACAGTAAAAAAAACATAATTATTATAATTTAGGATTATTGTACTAACGATTCATATATATATATATATATATGTATGTATGTATAGGAGATTTTATCAATAATTAAGATAATAAAATAATTCTTTTTATGAGATTATAACTATAACTATATAAGCATATAAATATAGTAATTCAAAGCATAAACTTACGTTGTTAATCAAGTAACACCAAAAAATAGCTACTCTAAGGTAGGACCAAAAGAACTTTGTCATCCTCCAACATGACCCTTTACACATACTCCTCTTCCAACTTATCCTTGTACCACTTTCATACCAAGTATGATCATTGTAGTTCAATCACAAAAAAATATGCAAAGACAAGCTTACAAAAAATAACATAACAAGTACAAAAGTGATGTACAACCATACTATCAACATCAACATATCCACTTTTATAATCAACACAACATTCTAATTTATAATTCTTATTCATACCCTAAACCCCAATATATAAATTGTGTCATACAACAACTCATACATGTGTAGATCACAACATATCAACACTACAATATATGCATAATATAATAATTATCTGCATCACACATTTCAATTAAGAGATCTTTTACAACGTAGGTTAATTGTTTAAGTGGCTTGACCCTATTGAACCAACTTAACAACATGATTTTTTGGGCTTGCTAGATCAACAACAAATTTGGATAAAAATCCACAACACATGATTTCTTAGATTTTTCCACTTAAACCAGGAAAGTCCAATATTCCTATCAAGATTGGGACAACTTAGGTGTGAGTTTACCAAAACCTTAGCATGCATAATTAAACTTATTATTAAATTAGCCCATCAAGTATCCTCCAAATATAGTGCCCTTTCCAGTACTTAGTTAGGGATTTTGGCTTCGACCTTGTACCTTACTAGGTTTGGTCACTTTATACACATATGACTTGACCTTACTCCCATGTGGATTTGCATTTGATTGCTTATAATCAGTATAACTTGACCTAACCTTTATGCTATTTTATACTAATTGCTTTATAATCAGTATGGTTTAACCTGACCCCCCATATTGTATCAACTAAGGACCTAGAGGAGATTCAATATTTTACTTCAAGAGTCAATTTCTCATGAAGGATTTTTTAACAACCATACTTGTAGAGCACCATAACACCATATTCGCATAATGAGATATTCATATTTTAAAACAATTATACTTTTTTCTAGTCTTAAGTCAATCAACACAACTCAACACCATGTCTTAAGCATTCTTAGCACTACTGCTTTCAACACTACACAACATACATATTACTACATTTTCAATTCTCATCAACTTGAATCTTTAAGCAATTTAAATATCAACAATCATCATCCTAAATCAATAATTAATGAACTAGAATCATACAACATGTGAGAAATTCAACTTATCAAATACATGTTCAACACTTAGCTAAAATAACAAATCATTTATCATTCAGTAACTGAAGCTCGACACTACTCTTTTAGCACTAGTGTCATTGAGGTAGAGAGTCTTTAGCTCACCCACGCTTGGTGTCAAACTACTTGTGTTTGGGGTGAATAAGGTACAGAGATCTTGTGTCAATCACACTTGGCGTGGCCAAACCCATGTTCGACCTCATTTAGGCAAAAAGTTTTTGTCTAACTCACACTTGACGTCACAACACTGACGCCCAATGTTGTCTAGGTAGAGAGTTTTTCTCTTGATCATGCTTGATGCTATTCAATTGGGGTCTGGTATTACCAAGTCAGAGAACTCCAAGGGCATTTATGTCTAGCATCCCTTAACCCATGTTTAATATGACCAAGTTAGAGAGCTCTTATGTAACTCACACCCTATGTTACCAATTCTGCGCTCGACATCAATGAGGTAAAAAGCCTCTGGGTTGCATCACACTCAACACCTTGAAATTGCATAAATCTAGCGAAAAGCCTCTAACCATTAATTTTGCACTCCTTCAATGCACTAAAACTCTTAAGAGCCAAAATCCACTCCTTAATTCAATTACAACACATCCACCAATGTGCATAATTCAAGCAATGATCTAGGTAGAAATCAACAAGAACAACACAAAAATAAACAAGTAATAAGCTTTCGTTACCTCTGAATCAAACAGAAAAGAATGAGAAAAAAAAAGATGGTGTTTTTCTAGCCAACATCGCACAAACATAACCACTACCACATTTTAAAAATGGAAAATGATAAAACCTCCAAATGAGATTCCGAAATACGTTCTAAATAATTAAAATAATAATTTAAATTATAAAATATTAAATTAAATAATTATTTTATAATAAATTTATTAAAATATATTAATTTTTTAATAGTCGGAGGATAATTCGGATAAAAGTTTCGGAGTCTGTAACTGTACTTGTAACGACCCGGCTGGTCACTACACTTACAATCACAGCACACCGGAAACCCTAGACAGAATAGAACGAGTATATAAATATAGGATCTAGAATATAAATATATACAATGTTCCGATCCGACTAGCGTTAGAGTGCACAAACGAAATACAACCAAAGTAGTCAGATAGTGACCCAACAAACAAACATCCGCCAAACAAGACTCCTCCCTTTGCCAGCTGTAGACTTGCCACTATCACCAGTCTAACCCTGCTCTGCTCCCATACATAGTATGATCATCGCAGTCCAAACCACATGGAAACAACAAAGGGTAAGCTAGTGAAAAGAAATAACATACATATATATAAATATATGAATAGTAAATAGCTACCCCTATCAGCACATCAAATCAACACGTCAATCAGTTTAACAAAATCAGTTTAAAATACCACAACATTCAGCCATAACAGCACACATCTCACATCATCAGCATACAACTCATCGATTTTACAGCATAATCAGCAATAAGCACACAATGCGTCGTCACACATATAAGTTAGTATTGGTCGCTTGTAATCGGTATAGCTCGACCTGACCCCTATACCGTGGTCGCTTTGTACACGTGTGCCTCGACCTTGCCCACACACGGGACCACTAAGACTTAGAGGAAAACA